AGTAAATATATTTAATATTATAAATTTTATATAAATTAAAAAAATTAATTATTTAAATAATATACCAAATTATATAAAAAATTAATATAAAAAAATTATTTCAAAATCATTCTCCTAACTCCATTACCTTCTCTTTTTATTCTTATTCTGGATAATTACTTTCTAAAAATAAAATATTACTGACTTGTGCATTGAAGTACTTCCTCCATAGGATATCCTCGGGTATTTCGGGGTAGAAGCACCTGACGACTTACACAGTAGAAGTTCGAGTAGCTGCCCAAACATATACCATAACCTAATGTACCCAAAATGCAGCCAAATACACTGAAATAACATGAAATTCTGCATGTCTATTCGTATTCCCAGATCAACAGTACATGAAAAGGAAAATTCATCAACAAATACATTCAAAGTCCACAGATCTACAACGAAAATGAACAAACAAACATATAAAGGGCATTGTTTGGAGTAGTCCCGGCGGCAAAAACCGGAGGCTTTACCTAACCAAAAGGAGAAACGGAGCAAGAAACGGTGACGGACGTCGGAAGTTCGTTGGAGCTCTCTCCTCTCGGCCCTTTTCCTGAATTCCAAAAAAAAAAGAAGAAAACTCTCCTTTTCTCTCTGATTTTCTGTATTTCTAAGCCAAGAATACAGCAAACAAGGCCTGGAACCCTAATAGCTAATACCCTATGTCACCCTCCGATCTGCTCATCTATCCTCTTTCCTATAGATTACTTCCAGCCAAACTTTTGACTTGTTCTCTGCTCTTTTCAACCAACCGTGCCTGGCCTCTGCAGGAAAAGCAAAGTAAGGGCTTTGAAACTTGTCTCATGTTCAGGGGCTTTAGTTGGTGGACCATCTTACTGGAGCGAAGACGAACGGCGACGAGAAGAGTTCTGTTCAGTTTTTTTGAGGAAGAGGTAAGTCTGTTCAGGTTTTTTTTCGGAAAATGGGCGGTTCGGCCAAACCCTAATGTTCCCCTTTTAGTTTTTTCTTCTTTGGGAGCAAAACAATGTCGTTCCGAGCCCATTTTGCGCTGTAGTCCTTGACTTTTACCCGCATGTCATTTTGGTGCTCAAAGGTCGTTCATGTTCCGCACTCCTTATCAACACAGATTCCCATGAGAACGCTTCTGTATAATTGATCTTGAAACCTGACACGAGCCCAAAAGTCCTCATAACAAATTTTATTGCGCAAACATTCTGCTCCGATGCTGCTTTAGCAAATATAATAGTGTTATCTGAGAACCGGGGATGTGAGATTTGCAGTGCCCAAAATCATATCTGTACATTCTTTCAATCAAACCTTTGTTCAAAGCCAATAACCCCTTCCGCCACAATAAGAAACAAAAATTGGAAAAAAAAGGTTGATTGTCTCAAACTTCTGCCCATAGAGAACTCCTTTGTTGGGCTTCCATCCACCAAAATTGAAATTCTACTCGTTTTTAAGCATTCCTGGAGCATTTCCTCCATTTTCTCTTGAACCCATCTTTGTCCTCATAAAATTAAGAAAATCCCAACTCACTCACCTT